TAACGTAAATTTCTCTTGCTAAAAGTCATCCAGTTTGTGGTATTTTGTTACAACTTAGTGAATGGACTAAGAGAAGATTTTAGAGAGAAAAATGAGTGACATTCAAAGAATGAAGGACCAGGGGATGTTAGACTTCTAAATAATAATAGTGGAAATTAGAAGATTGTGTGTGTAAAAAGCACATTCAAACTTTTGAGGGCAAAATGTTTTTTAAACTAGATTTCTATATGTAATCCAGATTTCTCAAGAGTGAGATTAAATGAAGAAACATTTTCAGACATGTAAAATCTTAATATTTTATTTTTATGCATCATATTTTTATGCATCATGTTGATGAAGAATGTATTTATTCTACTATTAGCATTTCCAGGTAAGTGAAGAGGGGAAAAGGGAAGTCCCAAATTGACAGCTGAGCATCATGCCTGGAGAACACCAGTTGAGATTGAAAGAGAAGTGGAGAGATTCAGGATGGATGTTTAGGGAAAAAAGATATAATTATCTGGTATACTTATATGCATTAACCAAGACAGCCTTAACATCTTCTTACCTTGCACAATTCAATTTTAGATTTCTTTCTGATTATAGCTCCCTGATCTCCCTTAGCTTAGAACATTTACTTTTTTAATATAAATTTTATTTTATCCCATTCCCCCCTCAAGCCTTCTCCCCTCCCTATCTACAAAAGCTTTATTTCCATTTTTTCCTTCTATTTTCATTTTTTTTCTTGTCGCTTCCTTCTTTTCCTCCCTCCTCCTTTGTTCCCCTTCCCATTTGAACACTTTCTTCCCATTTCCCAACATCCATTACACATCTCAGTCCTTATTTCCACATTCCGTTTCTCACACCAGAGAAACAATGTGGTATTTAAACATATGTGTCTGATTTATTCCACTTAAGAGTATGGTCTCAAGGTCCATCCATTTATCTATAAATGTCTGAAGCTCATCCTTCTTTATACCAGAGTGGTACTCCATTGTATAAAAAATCACATCTTTATCCATTCTTCAGTTGATGGACATCTGGGTTGTTTCCAAGATTTAACTATTACAAACTGTGCTGCCATAAACATGGGTGCACATATATGGCTGTGGTATGATATTTTTAATTCTTTCAGGAAGATACCAAGAAGAGGTATAGCTAGATCAAAAGAAACCTCTAGTTTTTGTTCTTTTAGAAATCCCCACACTGATTTCCACAGTGGTTGTACCAGTCTACACTCCCACCAGCAGTGGAGAAGGGTTTCTTTTTCCCCACAGCCACTCCAGCATTTTTTATTGGTTGATTTCTTGATAGCAGCCATTCTTTCTGGAGTGAGGTAGAATCTCAGTGTTGTTTTAATTTGCATCTCTCAAATGACCAGTGATGTTGAACATTTTTTCATATATTTATTTGCCATTTCTAATTCTTCATTTGAGAAGTGTCTTTTTATTTCAGATGCCTGTTTTTGCACTGGGTCTTTAAATTAGGGGGGGTTGATTTTTTTGAGTTCTTTATATATTCTAGAAAATAGTCCTTTATCTAATAGCTGATAAAAAATTTTTTCCACTCCAGTGGGTTTTTAATTTATTTATTTATTTATTTATGTATGTATGTATTTATTTATTTTTGTGGGTTGTTTCTTCACTCTGTTAGTGGTTTCTATTGCTGTGCAAAAGCTTTTTAATAAGATAAGTTCCCAGTTGTTGATTCTTTATAGTATTTCTTGTGCAGTCTGGGTTTTGTTCATGAAGTCTTTGCCTACTCCTCAAGCATTCTACCTAATTTCTCTTCCAGCAGATTCAGTGTTTCTGTTTTAATATTTAGATCTTTGATCCATTTCAATTTTAGGCTAGTGTGTGGTGAAAGATATGGGTCTAGTTTTAATCTTTGGCATGTGCAAAGCCAGTTTTTCCAGCACCATTTCTTAAAGAGCCTTTCTTCCATGGAAGGTATTTGGATAAGGATGAGGGTGTTTGGTTGAGGATGTCTGGAGTTGTTTCTGCATCCTCTAGTCTGTAACAGTGATCCTCAGGTATGTTCTTTTGCCAGTACCATGCTGTTTTTATCACTGTAGTTTTGAGGTATAATTTAAAGTCAGGGATTGTGATACCTCCTGCTTTTCCTTTGTTGCCCATAATTGCCTTTGCTATTCTAGGTCTCTTCTGCTTCCAAATGAATTTTAGGGTTCTTTTTTTCTAATTCTGTGAGATATGCTATTGGGATTTTGATTGGGATTGCACTGAATCTGCATAACAATTTTGTAAGTATAGTCTTTTCACCATATTGGTTCTTCCTATCCAAGAACAAAGGATATCTTTCCATTTTCTGATATCCTTTTCAATCTCTTTTTTCAGAGTACTATAGTTTCTATTGTAGAGGTCTTTCACTTCCTTCACTAGATTGATTCCTAGGTATTTCATTTTTTGGATGCTATTGTGAAAGGGATTGTTTCTCTAATTTCTCTCTCCATGAATCTAGAACATTTACTTTTAAAAGTTTCAATTGTAGGGTTTTTTCTCTGCTCTTTTGAGATATAAGTCATCTCCTAAATTCTTAAAAATTTTACAACCCAGGAATATCTTTCTCAATTACCTTAGAGCCATCTCTTTGAAATGTAATCACCAAGAAAGATGAAGCTCTAATCCTTTCCACCCCATGGAATAAAAGCCTGACTTTGATATGCACCAGCTAGCAAATAAAGATGGTCTAATCACATGGATAACATTCCCATTACACCCTAGCCCTCTAGTACCATTCTACCAGTTCACTCCAGTGCTTAAAGACTCTTCTGCTTTTGGTTTAAAGGAGTAAAATTTGATCTTTCAACACTATTGTGATAGTCTTCAATTAATTCTTCTTTATCTCTTTAACCTATCTAGTGCAACTTTTCTTCCACAGTTGGGAAAATACCATTAAGAGACATTAGCCGGGTGTGGTGATGCATGCCTATAATGCCAGCACTCTGGGAAGTTGATACAAGAGGATCATAAATTGGAGCTTCCTCTGGGAAATATCGTAAAGCCATATCTCAAAATAAAAATGTATAAAGGCTGAGGATATAACTCAGTGAGAAGGCATTGGGTTCAATCCCAAGTACTGCCAAAAAAGTCATCTATTTATTTTGTTGGGGAGTTAGGGAAAAATTGGTGATAATAATATAGAAAACTAAAGAAAAAAAGACAAAATTAAACTCAATATTTTCTTATCTACTTTTCTCTGTTTATGAGAACCCTTCCTTTTAGACAATTTTATCATTATCTACATGGTGCATTTTATGTGCATGTACTTCTTGTATACTAATTTCTTCCTCTTGGGATGCTGAGTTCTTATTCTCCATAATAGGACAGTGCAGGTTTAATTCTTGCTCTTTAAGTTTTTCCATCTCCAAATCATGCTTAAACTTTGTAGCTTCTTTAATTTAAAGTCCTCTTTGGGACAATGGCTTCCATTTACATAGCACTTCCTAACCTATGCAATGTCCTTACATTGCCATCTTAGTTGATCCTTATAAAAACCTTGCAAGGTGCATTTTGGTGCTAAATTCAGATGGATATAGCTTGAAACCATAAATATAGACAAATTTCTTGATATACTAAGTCTTAATTCCTTATTTTAAAGTTCATTGAATACTGAGTGAAGCATGAGTCAAGCACAGTTATGAGAGTTAGATGAGATAATGCATACCTGACTTAGTAAATGCTACAGAAATGTCAAATAATTATTATTACTTTACAACGGAAAAATAAAATTTAGAGTCACTAAAAGAAATTTTACCATATTATAACACAGGACTTTGTATTGTTTGAGTCCAAATGCAATTCATATTACTATCTTACATGGTGTCTCTAAATATATAGCTTCTTGGCAAGACCTTTGTTAGACTTCATTAATTCACTATCATAGGTTAGAGGTTTAGAAAACAAATGGGTATGTTTTGAAAATGTACATGGGGTATACTACATTAAGGAAGAAGAGATTGGCTGTCTGCAGCAGTGAGGAGAAGATGGAAGAAGAGGAGACTTACTGAAAAATCCGGGAACAGCTGAGAGGCGGGAGGAGGAAGAGCGGGACTGAGAGAGGAAGTACGCAGGCATCAGAAACGCAACACACTATGAGGCTGAAGGCACTGCTAGTGCTGCCGTTCAGAGCTGGCTGGCCTTTTCCACATGTCATTCAAAGCAGTATTTGAATAGCCATACATAATATTAAGCTTGGGTGGAAGGATGGCTTGCAAGTCATTTTTTAAAAAAACAGTATGCAAAACATCAATTTAATTTCTCCATAAAGGAAAGAGAGAAGATGGAGTTTGATACTTGTAGACATATTTGCAAAAACAGAAATGCCTGGGATTGAACAGACTGTGAATGGATGTTTCTCTGAGAATAGTTCAGACCTGGAAACTGAGCTATCTCTACAGCAGCTATGCTGGAGACCTGCTGTTGTTTTCACTTTTTGATGTCTTTGTTCAAACCATATGGTGCAGAAGCAGTACATATTTGTAAATAAATAGACTTTGAGTCTAGATTTCTTCTGTGTCCGTGACTTGTTTTTATCTCAAATTTACCACTCTTTTGGAAGAAAAGATGGCCTTGCATTTAGAAAACTTTGAACCTTTGGAGACTCCATAAGTTTTCATTGTGTTTGCCCGTTTGATGTGAGGCCAAACCCCAGTGTGACAGAAGACAGAACATTTGAGAGCTGTTTTTCTGGGTAGGGGGTTGCAATGTTTTATTTTTAATAGTTAAAGAGATTTCTAAAGTTAGTTACCATTAATTATTCTTTTCTTAGTTCCCCCTTTGAAAAGATTTGTTCAGCATCTGTCTGCCCATCTGTCCGTCTGTCTATCGGGTGCTCAACTTTGGCTCTGGCACCTTTTGAGGATGTTAGGACAGGCAGCTTCATGATTACCTAAGGGCACAGGGTGTGAGGGATTGCATCAGAGCTGGATCAGACCTTCTGCTTTTGAAGGCACTTCAAACTGTAGGCAAAGCCACCTTTCTTTCTCTTTTCTTTCTTTTCTTTTCTTTCTTTCTTTCTTTCTTTCTTTCTTTCTTTCTTTCTTTCTTTCTTTCTTTCATCTGGTGAATGATTAAAGTTGATGTTGTGCTTGATGAGCTTGCTGCTGATCCTCCAGAATATTTGAGTTGCATGAACCTTAGGAGTCATCTTGTTCAATCCTCTCCTATTTTACAGGTGAGAAAACAAGCATAGCCACTTGTTCAGTGTTACAGAATTTATAAAAGAGCAGGTCTTTGTATACTTAGATACTTTATCTACTATGTAAGTTACAAAATGTCTTCATAACTTGCACTTAAAAATAATAGCTAAGTGTCTTTTCAAGTTCTCCCGCACCAGAGACTGGTTAAGACCTGAAGGCTACATCATACCATGAGGCTTCTGGATATTCTAAAGCCATTACTCTTGTGATATTTATATTCTCTTCTCTGCTTACCTGCTAAACCCTTTTCATCTTGTATGTTATTTCACAGATGCCAACTGACTAATCTGATAAACTAACAATCAATCTGCTAATGTAAGATGATGAAAAGACTCAAACAGCAAAATACCCCTCATATATTATGACTGTCAGTAATTTCTGAGCTGGAAGCTATTGACTTGATCTCCAAACATGCTATGTGGAGTGTTGCCACATTAAGCTTGCCTGAGAAAATGTGCCTTCCTTCTGTTATGCTACAGGCTTCCCCCTAAAGATGCTAGGGCTTCTTGCTTTAGTCTGTGCACTCACTAGAGACCTGTCTTTACTTTTCCTTCTTAGAGGACTTTAGTCATGAAATGTTTGAATGAATAAATGGCTTTGTTTCTGCAAATTCAGACTGTGGTGTAATTATTAATCATGCTCTGTGCTGCTGGGAATATTCCCAGTATAGTCTCCTTTCCTCTGTGGTGGGGATTTTGTTTTGACATATTCATTCAACCATAGTAATCTTGGAATTTTCAAGTATTTTCTTAATTAGATTCAAAGGTGAGTAGCCTTCAAATCCTTCCTGAAAGAGTTCAAGAGTACAGAAATGAATGACCAAGTACTACACGGTACCTTAGGAAAATACTGTCTCATGGAACTTTGTAAGTCAGGGATAACACAGTGATTAGCAACAAAGACTTGGGGGCAAGCGAATTCTGGGTTCTAGATATGTGAGCCCATTGCTAGCTATGTGATTTGGGATAATTACTTAAACTCACAAATGCCTCAGTTTTTCCAAGTATAATTTGGGGGATAAAAATATTGCATATTTCAGAGTTGGAAGAATCAAACTACTAATCTATAAAAGTTATAATAATCGGTGTATGTTCAATGTACTATATGTTAATGTGCATATATAGTTTCATGTTTAAAGGATTTGCTACAGTTTGATTTGATTTTGTGCTGAACTCTGACAATGCTAAGATTAAGAAGGCAAGGTCTATGATGTTAAGGGGTTCAGAATTCTTCTAAGGAAAACAATATGTTTATCCCTCTCTTAATCAAATTTAACCTTCTGAGTCTTGTGGAATTTGTAGACAATGCATATAAAGGAATGAAATCAACAATAAAGTCTTTCAAGTAATCCAGAATCTTGCCTCAGCACCGGGACACTTTTTCTGTGCACACAGCTTAACTCCTGAATAATTGCATAACATTTTTTCTCTTTTGTAATAATTCTCTGATGTAGAGTAGTTGAGAAAATAGACTTTACTAAGTCCTAATGTTTAACTAGTATGTCCAGAAGTACATATGCATAGAAAGAGTTAATTAACCTGATTTCCCTTTCACATTACTGTCCTATGACAAGGCAAATTCCCAGAAAACAAAAACAAAAAACAAAAAACAGCTGTGGGTTTCCTTTTAAGGACAAACTTAGGATCTTAACCACAGTGTTTTCTTCAGCAGCATCTCTTCACAGTCAGAATCAACGCCTTGATGTCTCAGGAAAGTCTCTATTTGGATGTCCCTTGAACTGAACTGGACGTGTGTAAGCAAAGAAATTTGTTAGAACCTGCAGCTAAGGAGAGTTTGGCCTTCCCTGAAATACCTAAGCTGCCCAAGACAGATTTAAGCAGCACAAAGGAAGAAGAGGTACGTTTTTCACTGAAAGATGGCAATTCCAGTGTCATTTACTAGTAAGAAATGTAACAGTGATATAAAAATAATAGTAAAACTTTGTTATAAAATATTTCCCTACTTAATGGGTTGTGTTCTATGAAAATAAAATCATGTCCTTCAGTTTAGCCTAATATAATATGAAATCATGGGAATCAGATAAAATGGGTTTTATGTTTGGGGCTGTGAAAGACTGAGCAGGACAGGAGAATTTGGACAAAGAACATAATTTCTCCAAGACTGAGTGTGCTCATTTCTATAACTGAGACAGCACTAAGTGTCATAGGTGGTGTGTGTTTTAAGTAACTAATGTGAAGGCTCAGACATAAAGTAGGCACTACAAAAGAAGTATTTGTCATTACCTTTTGCTCTATATGAGGATTTTGCTTTAATTGAGTATGAAGTTTAATATATCAATATATGTACTATACCATAATTGATTGGGCAGAACTCTCTTCTCAGTCAATAGTGAAATATTTATTAGAAGCCACAAAGACAGTTCATCTCACAACTTTCAAATTTGCAATTTTTAGTCAAATATTTTTCAGTCCATTTGGATCAAAACCTCAAAATATATTCAAACAAAAAGTAAAATCAAAATGATTTGTAGGAAGACTACCAATCATTGCAGAATAAGTGAACAATACCATTTAATAATCCTATGTCAAGTGTTTGGAAAGGTAGGGGATGAGTCTGTGACTTCTACCATTGTCATTTAGAGGGGCTTCCATTGGAATCACCATGAAAACTGGTGACAGGGCAAATAAGAAGGGGAGAAAGCTGGGGGCATAATAGTTGCACAAATCTTACAACATCAGACCAAAGAAGATATTTTGAGAGCAGTAGCAATGGAAAGAGGATAAGGAAAAGTACAAAAACACTGATGAGAGCAAAAAGAAAAGAGGAGGAATTCTAGTTACCTCTGATTTAAGGCTATTACCTCACAGATTTCAGTGGCCTCATTAATGATAGGTGTCTGACGATAGCCTCTTGTGGGTAGAAAGTTAAATATTGTCTTGCAGGGGCTGCAGTGTAGTACTAGTGAGATTTCTTTGATAATTTATTCCCTACTTTGCTAACATAATTTGCCATGTGAGACACTGCTCTCTCACTAGCCATAAATTTTCTCAAAGTTTCATTTTATTTTATGGAGAAAATTAAGTGTCCATTCCAATAGCAATAAGGAAAAATAAATTCCATTTTAAGCATATATTTCTTGCTGTGAGCTTATAACGCCATTTTTTTCTAGCCTGTTTTCCTTTTCTTGTGAGTTAATATTGAGTTCCTACCTTAAGAAATTCAGAGTAGGCACAGATCCATAGGAAGAAAAGTAAAAAGGGCTATGTATCAGAGATAGTTTCTTTTCTTAAAATAATCCATATTAGTATGCTATGGGAAATGTCCAGTGATGCTTAGCAAGTTGGTACAATATGGCTGTATTGACAATTCTCTTCTTAAGCTAATGGTGTAGGAGTGCTGTTAGCTTTGTCCTTCAACTCCTGGTGGTCCTGGGCAAACTTATTTCCAAGCATCTAGCACCACTTTACTCCATGATTATCATTCAGGACACAAGTAGAGCTTATAGCAGTAGTTCTAAATTGTCTCCTTGGACAAGCATATAAATGATGTAACCTCATTTATGACTGATGTCTGCTAAAAGGATATTTTCTTGTGTTGTTTACATCTTTCATCTGTGATGGATAAGTTAAAAACTGATAATTTTGCTGTAATAACTAAGATGATGACTTTTCATATTGTATTTTCTTTTGACTTATTGCCTTTTCAACTTGATAGATACTTTAGTCTGGACTCCCAGAGGCTACTTTTCTCTTTTCTTGTTATCAATGGAATGAGTAGCCATGAAAATTACATTATATATTGAAATGTTCCCTTTTTTTTAGAGATTAAAGTATTGCACGCATATATGGGGTATTTTCCATAAGCAGGTAAGACCTTAGAATTTTGTTAGACTGTGGTAAAATTCGTCACATTTCAAAGATTAAAAAGTACATCCCAACAATGATATCTTTTCATATCTTTGGATGGTACTGATGGGTTGGCACTGAAAGGTGCCCTTTTGAATCTGTGAATTAGGCAGATCTCTTACTTGAAGAGTTGGAGGGTTTGGCTAATGAACACAAAGTGTAATGATGCTGACTGATATCTTGAAGAGTGGTGTGGTGATCCACTCCACTACAGGCACTGAAGGGGAGACTGCTCTTAGGAGGTGGTCTCCATGACAGTAGATGTTGACAAGTACATAATTTCTAATGATGCCACCACAAGCAAGGTCACCTCATAGAAACACAATCCAGCCTCATGCAGGGAGAACACCATGTAAACATGGAAGCAGGGATTGGGTGATGCATCTAAAAGCCAAGGAACATCAAGGATAGCTGGCCATAACTAGAAGCTAGGATGAAAGTACTCAACATTCTCTCTAGGCCATCAGATGGAACCAATCCTACTGACACCTCTAGCCTCCAGAACTCTGCATGCTGACTGATACTGTAAGCCACTCAGTTTTGTGGTCCATAACAAAGTTTTCTTTGTTATGACAACTCTAGGAAACAGCTACATGTTTTGTTATGAAACTACATAAATATATTGCAGTAAACATGTTTATAAATATGTCTTTACATATGCATATTTTGGATTGCTCCTTTAGAATGTATTCCTATACTTGTGGTTACCAAGAGCAAATAAATGGATATTTGTATCCCATGTTGCATTTTGTCAAAGTACTTTCTAAAAGGCTTGTAATAAGGATAGAGAGAAGTATCTATTTTCTCACAACCTTGCTAGCATTGGAAAGCAATAGTGTTTGTTTATAAATCAGCAGGAATGTAAGTAGCAAACACATCAAAGCATTGTGGGAGTTACCACAGGGAAGGCAGATGTTCTGTAGAATGATTGGAGAAAAAACAATGTGGGGAAATTAGGAGAAAAAAAATAATTTGGAAGGATGGGATTAACTTGTTGTTTTTTATAAAACCAGCACGTGTGGTTCATAAGATCATTTGGGTTTCAGAGAAAGCAGAGTAGTGTAACACGAAGCTTGTGGCTGCCAACAATCACCAAGTGGCCCTTAGATCTCAGAATTGAAGGGAAGAGAGGCATGAGGTAACTCTCCTCCTGTGTGCCCCATTGACAGTGGGTGAGTAGCCTCCAAGAAGATGTGCTGGGATTGTTAGGAGTCCCCATGCAAGGCCTGCACTTGGGCAGCCATCACAATCTGGACCAAGGACATGCACAAGGTCAAGAATTTGCATAAAGAAAGGGAAGATTATCAGTTTATAAAGTGCATATTAGTATGTTAAGGCTTAATACTATGCATCCCCTTGATGGATGTAGAGACACCACTTTTTCTGTTCTAAAGCAAAACAAACAAAATGTAAAACTATAGGCACAAAAATATTTATAGTACTCTTTACAATAGTGAAAATTGAGGCTTGGTTAAATACCTTCCAGTGTACCCTTTCATTGAAATACCATATAATCATAATAGGGTATGAAGCACTTCTAAGCTTATTGTCATAAAAATGTACTCTAAGATATAGTTAAACAAAGACATATCGCATAATGGTATAAAAAGTATATTCAGTTACTATAAAACAATATTAAGCTACATATCCTCATATATTTCTTTAGAATATTGTATTGGTTAATCAGTTCTGTGTTTATTAGTATGTGTTTGCTGAATAAAATGATTATATTTATTGTGGGGAGTTGGTATAAGAACATAACACATCTTAATTCTTTTCTACTTCCCCTTGCACTCCCCTAACTTGATTGTGATTTGACTGGCTTGAGAGACACCTAGATAAGTAAAGCACATTTCCAGATGTGTCTGGGTGGATGAAGGAGGTGTGACTTTGGGGATAATATCTTGCCCCTGGCTGTTCTTCTTGAGCTCCTCTCCTGCTCTCTGCTTGTTGAATGCAAGTGAGTTCGGCAGCTTTCCTCCATCTTGCCTTTCCACACTGATGTTTTTAACCTTGGAGCCAGCACACCAGAGACTGAAACTTTTGAAACTGAGCAAAAATAATACTCTCCTTCTTTACATTGGGAATGTCAGGTACTTTTTTTCAGCAATGAAAAAGCTGGCCAGCACAAATATATCTTTTATTGTTTTGTTTTGTGTTTAGCATTGCTGAGGTTCAAATTCAAGACCTCATACTTGGTAGACAAGCACTTTAAAATTGATCTATATCTCCAAATCCTAGAATGTATTCTTAAAATTGAAATTTTTATTATCAATAGAAATTTGTCTCACATGTGTTTATCCCAGATATCTATGTGGTAACTTCCCCTGTCTTCAAGTTTCTTTCAGATTTTTACCACTATTTCATAGTTCAAATTGTCTCTATCCTACTAAATCTCACTCCTTAACCTATTCTGTTTTCCTTTTTTACAGATTCATCCTTTTCAATCACACAATATGTGTGTCATTTATTATATTAGTTTATTGTTGTTGTTCTTGTTCACTAAAGAGGAAAGGCTCAGTAAATATTTATGGGGTGGAAACAGTGGTAATACTATTGTAGCTCACTTTCCAAAGTTCTCACCAAAATGGCTATTTGAATTCAAGCATGGCATGAAAACACTTTGTGTTTGTTATGTGCATACATGCACAAATGTGTGCATATTACATGCACACATTAGCACAGTGCAGATTAAGTACCAAAATATACCAAAATAATGGTTAATTGCCTTACTTATAAACTAATGTTTTTTAATTTTAAAGGTGATCATTTTATTTTAGAATCAGGAAATGAAAAGGAGGTGGTTCTCCTTGCCCAAAAAAGGAAGTGTTTACTTATATGATACCCATAGGATCATCTTCGCGGGTGCGACCATACCCCAGGGAGGCCACAGTGGAGACCAGGACAGTAATCATGGAAGAGCCTGTCCCCAGCCTCTGGAGGCTGCCCACCGGGAGCTCTCTGCTGCTCTCCCCAACATACTCTCCTCTT